GGTTGAGTATCAGAGTGTTCCATCTCATTTCCCTTTGAGGTTGCTGTAGGTGATCTGGAAATCTGGTTTTGAGACTTATTTATGTGTTTTCTTATTTCGACTTTGGGGGAGCTGTTGGCACCTGAACAGATTACCTCCTCTGAGCTGGGAGAGGTGGGACAGGGGCTGGGAGCAGCGGTAGGGATGGTGGCCCAAAAGCCCTTTCCTATGGGCTAGGAGCAGTGGGACAGCAGCTCAGAAGCCCCTACCTCTGGGCTGGGAGCAGCGGGACTCAGTAGTGTGGTCTGGTGGTCCGGTGTCCTCTGTGTCTTTGTAGTGTGGAACCAGGTGGCTGTACAGAGGAGGGGGTGTGGTCCAGTGTATTGTTGCCAGGGCGCGGGCTGATTCAGTGTGTTCTGCACTACTCGTGACCTCGGTAGGATGTGGGCAGACCTGCCTGTCTGTAGTGGGCTGATTCGGCGTGTTCTGCGTGACTCCGAAAATGGATTTTGATACAACTATGAAGTAGACTGTTGTTATCTCCACTTGACATTTTGGGAAAGTATGGTGTTACAAAGTCAAGGAATGTGTATGAGTAATACACAGGTAGGCTAGTGTTAATGTCACAGTTGTATTCAAGAGTCTCAATAGGATCCTGGTACCAATGTGAATATTCTGAGCACATTGCAGAAAGCCCTCACTTACCTTCTTCTGTGACTTCTACAGGCTGCACGCTGCATTGGAAGGACCTTGGGAGACCCTCAAACCACACAATGGAGGCAGTGACGGTTGAGAATGTGGCTATAACCTTCACCAAGGGGTAATAGGGTATGCTGAATCCATCTCAAAAGATGCTCTACAGAGATGTGATGTGGGAAACATTTGTGAATATGGCTGCTATAGGAAGAATGTGGGATAACCAGGAAATTGATGTAGCATACAAAAGTTTCTGGAGAAATGTAAGAAATGAAAAGGTAGAGAAATGCTATCAATATAAAGCTTGGAATCAACATGAAGTAATATTCGTTTGGACTCAAGATGCCAATATGAGCATGAAGGAAGCTCATTTAAAACAAGATGAAAAATTTGCTTGTAGAAAGTCCTTGATTCGTCATTCATTGCCAAATGTCCCCATCATAGCTCACACTGGACACAAAACATGTGAGTATGAGGGATTTGAAGAGATACTGTCTAAATGTAATGGACCTGGGAAAACCTGCAGTGATTCCCAGTCCTTTCAGAAGCATGAAAGGAGAAAGACTATAGAGAATGCATATAAATATAAGGAATGTAGGAAAGCCTACTACGATCTTAGTGAAAGACTTTACTGTAAAGTGAAGCCCTTTGAATGTAAGAAAACTGTGAAAGTCTCTAGCACACCCCATGACATTGAAATACATGAAAGAAGACACATTGAGGGAAATCTATATGTAGGTAAACAATCTGGGAAAACATTTTCTACATGCAAATATTGGCAAAGACATGAAAGAAGTGACACTGATGAGAAACCCTATGAATGCAAGCAATGTAGAAAATTATTCACTACAACCAAATATTTGAAAGTACATGAAAGAATTCACACTGGGGAGAAACCCTATGAATGCAAGCAATGTGGGAAAGCATTCACTACACACAGTTCTTGTGAAAGACATGAAAGAAATCACACTGGTGAGAAACCCTATGTATGTAAGCAATGTGG